CATGGCTGCGGCATTTAGACGGGGGGGTGGCGGGATGGATGGAGACATGTGGAGGACGAAGGACATGGTTCGTGATACGAAACTGGTGTTGGCGCTGTAGGATCAGGCTGCGCCAAGCGAGGATGCCATATCGTCGAGTCTTGAGGTTGACTTTCTCGCCGCACAAATGCGGCTTCAATGCCCAGCTTATGTGGATGCATTTGTACGGGGCTAATATCTAGCTACGTCATTGCCTAGTTGATCAGATTACGCGCGAGGTCAAGAGCAAGGAAGCTATCGGCCCGCCAACCTACCTCCATGCAAATGATATCGACACACTTGCCTATATCCCGATCACCGCAAAAACCTCCTGAGGTCAGCTTGACAATAACCCATGCACATACATTCGACGAACAAATAAATCCCAGCATCTCCTCATGTCTGCCGAGCCCAAGAAACATCATTTCAAGCATCACACATGGATCCATAACATAGGTCATTGTCATTGGAGCATTGCTTGATTCTACGGCTCATGGACCTGACGTCCTGGTATCTAGCATCCAATCCTCTTGTTGCTAACAACAATGTCATCGTACCAGAATGTGTTGGTATCACCACCGTAGCTCTCCCATCCAAAGTACACCTACGCTTGATCGTCAGCAAAAAACGTTCCTCGTCCAAAATAGACTTTGACCAACTCACTCCGGTAATCTTAGGCTTGATCGTACTCCTGGACCACTGCGCTCCATTGGGGTTCGACGCTCCATTACCCACGGTCAACCCAGAAACAGTGCCGTTGTTCAACCATGTCTCAATGCTGCCGTCAGTGCCAAGGTGGTACTCAAAGCATGTCCATTGGTTGGTCGGCAGCGGCTTGGACGACGCAATACCGTTTGGCGACAGATCAGGTAGTGTGGCATCATCCGTCTCGCGGTTGTACATGAGGATCTTGGATTGTCCGCCAATGCGCAGGTGCTTGTTTGTGCCTTGGGCCGAGTCTGGCATTGTGATGAAGGTCACGTGAGAGTCGGTGAAGGCCTTGCTTGCTTTCCTGCATACAAGAGTTAGCGTCTAGATTTGAAATGAGAAAAAAAAGGTAGATATATTTACAAGTAGGTCCTGACGTAGACATCTCCCGATGGAATCTTCTTTGTGCCGACAAAGATGTGGCCGCAGTAGCCTCCCGCACCATCAACACGGATCGAGTTCTTGCCAGTATGGGCTGTTGTCGTATCCAGGGTGACTTTACCACCTTGGTTGCAGTCTGCCGCATACGAGGGCCATGCAGTCTGGTCCCATCCGTTCTCGAAACCCTCGCTCACTTGGGCAATCGCTGGGGCCGCGAGGGCAAGAGCAAAGAGGGCGGTTTGGCGAAGCATTTTTTTTTTCTGCGGTGGAGGGTTGCCGTTGATGGGACTGCAAGACTGTGGTGAGGTTAGAGATACAGCCAGAAGGGTAGTTATATATGCTTCTTGGAAGCATACTCCTAAGCTTTGCCTTCCGTAGCCAAAATGGCATGGTCGGATGCTTATTCCGTGCTTGTTTCCATGATATTAATTTGACTAGACGGTCCAGCGTTTCCGTTTTGTTAAAGTGTCGGTGTATGCTGCACTGCATTGGGTTTGCGCTCGGGACGTTGTGCCATTTAGATTACCTGCAAATTTAGCTTGGCACTTATGTATATTAACCGCACATCTCATGGGGAAACCCCATCGGCACCACTCTCCTTAGAGATTGGTTCTTGCCGCCGAGTACAGATTACAGCCAATCCGTGTCTGATGGGTCTTTACAGTAGTAATTGATTAGGTCCGTCACATCCGTCACCGTTGTCAAATACACTTTTAAATCCTCTCGATTCAATAACAGCCCGTAGGCTAGGTTCTAAAACAACAATAAAGCAACCCGCAATGCAGTCAAGCCTCGCTACAAAAGCCCAAGAAAAAACTGGCCGACGTGAGCCGCTGAGAATAAAAGTCGCCGCTGAGCGCGGCGAATGAGACAATAACAGACTGATTTTTCTAACCAAAACAGTGAATAGCAAGGGGAAAGTGAGAGTATGTATGCATATCCACCAAAGGCGTATTACATGGTGTACGGGACCAGCCTTTTATGAAAAAAAGACTACTGATGAAGGAGAGGGTGGATATGGGTATAATAATCATGGTATGCGCCGGGATGCAGCAAATTGCACGTCGTTTTCTTACTTGGGAGGGTTAGACGACTTGTTGACTTGTGTAACCACGACAGCAATAATAACGATAATAATAATGAGGATGAGCACAATGAGGACACACCACCACTTCTTGCGGTTGCGGGCGCGAGCCTTGTCGATGGCACCGTCAATCTCGACATTGGCGGCCTTGACGTTATCGTTGATCTCTTCGCCCTTTTGTTCGATGTTGGCGACAAGTGGTTCTTGCTCCTGGACAATTTGGTCGAGGTCTTGGAACAGCTGAGCGAGCTCAACCATTTGACGTTCTATGTTTTGAATGGCCTCGTGTCGCTCCTTGACGTTGCGCAGAGTAGACGAGGCTTGGCCACGGCGGTCGGAGTTCATAAGCTGGGAAACGTCAGTATTGCGTGACAGGCAGGGGAGGTACAGAAACATACAGCCTGCTGGAAGATGGGCGCATCAGGGTCTGAAACAGCCTCGCGAACTTCTTCCTCGGTAGCATCTGGGCGCACAATGCGGTACTGGCGCTCAGCAGCCGCCTGCGATTCCCTTCGGAAGTCTGACTCGAGCGTCTGATACCTGTTGATAGTGGCCTTGAGCCTGCGGTCGACCTTGCCAACTTGAGGGGCGTTCCTAGGGTGACCTGAATCAGGTTTCGACTTGATGTTTTTGACGCGAGTGACAAGTGCGCGGTAGCCCGTCATGATTTGAGAGCTAAGGTTGTTGATCTCGCCAGAGGGCATGTCTGGGCGGGCCAGCGATTGTCTGAAGACGCGATCGAGGTTGTTGAGCTGGCCGTCGAGGTCGTCGAGCGCGCGGTCGACTTCACGGCACTCATTGAGAATGGCGTTGGGGTCAGCACCGGCACCAGGGAAGGATTGCATCTCTACATCGCCTGTGTGACATTAGACGAGAGCGCCATGGATACGATTCAGTGATACATACGGTCGTAGTTGTCGTAGCCGGCACTCTGGTCGCGCGCATCGTAAGGGTTGCCTCCAGCGGAGCCAATCTGGCCGTAGCCTCTGTTTCCGTACTGTTGGTCGGCAGCAGCCATGGTCAGTAAAGAGAATTTGGTGTTTAGAGTTTGGGCGGAATGAAGAGTATTGCAGAAGAGAGTGAGATGGAGTGCACGGTATGGGTAGAGCTAGAGGGAACTTACGCTCATTCTGAAACGGGACGGGTGTGGTGTGGGTGGACGTGGGAGACTCCTGAGACGGCCAAATGCAGACGCGCAAAGCAAACCTCACACGGCGGTGGGACGGGCTGGTGGCTAAGAGGAGACGGCGGGAAATGTCAAACGCGCGCAGGCTCGAATCAGTCGTCGACAAAGGCTTGAGGCAGAAGATAAATGCGTTTCAGGGCCGCGAATGTTTTCTGGGGCTGAGCGTGAAGGGTGGATAGGGCAGATGCAGGAGGCGCTCACGCTAACCGCTTTGGGTCAGGCATTCCACCAGTCAGCTGCAAATTGGCGGCGCCTCTCTGACGGTTGGCCCGCCTCGTCCCTCTAAAATTGGCTTGTGCTGCAGCTCACCGTACATGTGTGGCCCAACTGGCCTTTGCCTAACTTTGTCTCTCCAACAACCGCAGTCTTCACATATTACACTACACATCTCTTGCAATATATCTAGACAGTACATGCCTATGTACACAACCGGCTTGACCTCTCCCCACCTCGCTCCACCCCGCCACTGCTGTCGATTTGGATAGAGCCAAGAGCTTACGCAGCCGTGGCTGGCCTCGTATGCCTATTCAGGGTCTACTCCACGTACTAGCAGACTCAGCCTTGCGCCCGCAGCTCAGCTTGCCACTATGTACGTACACACGTACATACACATGTAATACGCTACCTTTCCGCGTCATGACTACTGCAGGCTAGCACTTAAAGCACCCTCTACCGCCTGTTGGCACACACGACGGATTATGTAGGCGTGCGGCAGACATTCCAACTAGGTGTGTCATGGGTATACTTACACATTTTGATGCTATCCTAGAATTCACTAGTCTATATTTATAAGCGGCTCACTACTAAAAGTACGCTTATTTTCAACCCGTCTTTTTTGGGTAGTTTGGGATGGATCACCAATACTCTAAAAGGCACAAAGCCAGATAACTATTCCTAGACTCCATAGGCAGATTATCCACACCGCTTAGCTCAGTAAAAACACTTTCACTAGTTGCAAATAAGTTTCCGCCCAGAACAAAGGACATTTCACACGTGGGCCAATTAGAACATGCGACAACCCCGTACCACAATAGAAGATTTAAACAACTGGATTGATTATCCCGATTGACACTAGCACACCAGTGTTTACACTCTTCCACTGTTGCACTGAACTTGGAAACAATCTACAACAGTTAATGTCGTGGAAGAATGTCTATTTTGTGGCAACACATGTTTGGCCAGCGTTGGGAAATGCGCTTATGGCAGGCATTGGAACAAGTTTGTCTAAACCAACCTCAGGGCACATAACTACAGTATTGTTTCCACATCTAAGGATCAAAGCGACATTCGAAGTAGTAGTATGATTTAACAAATATTCCCAGAAACAACCGCTAATAAGGTACATGGCTCTGTCTGCAGCCCTCGAATATTTCGAACTGATCACTAGTGCATAGGAATCTACATGTCGATGTTGGTATAATAGCGAAGTGTATGACAAAACAATCCCGCATCCATCTCTTTCCTAAAACGTACATCCACAGCTTACGTCATGGCTACCAGTTTAACCAGATACACAAAAAGAATTGCCAAAAACGAAAAACGTCAATGCATGATATCATGTGTACGTCTTCTAATCCTAGCTAGTCTAAGTAAACGCCGTAGATATAGTGTACAGTATGTGCCCTTAGCTCGGATCCGTTCACCCCGGAACCAAAGAATAGCAATAGCCGCCAAGCCCACAACCGTGAACGCCGCTGCCAGTACTGTCGCAGCCAGCCCAAACCCTAGAAGATCAAACATTTATGGTGCAAAAAGCGAGAAAAAAGCTGCCGCGCAACTTCGCGTAAGCAGAGTCGTCGACAAAACCGAAGCAGAATACTTGGCATATGTGTCAATCAAAAAGAGCGAAACGCAACTAGCATAAACATAGCATCCAGTAGTAAAAATAAAGCACCCAACATTCGGCATGATCCAGTGCATCTTCGCCTGGCCCGACCATCCCCACCAGACCAGTCCAACAGGCATAAGAAGCGTGCCTAAAACCATAGCCAGAACACGAAACTCGTGTTTCCCTACACCGCCATTGCGAGCTTTGAGTTTGGCGTAGGTCCAGTCGTTGAGGTACCCCGCGACACTGACACCGACGACATAACCTATTGCGGCGGAAATGTAGTTTAGACTCCCGATTCGGATACTTTGGCGATATAGCTTGTCCCACATAAGAAGATACATGTAGAGGAAGAGGAGCATGGTTCCGTACAAGAGGCCCATGTAGGCCGCCAGAAGCTGGACGATAGGTTGTGTGCCGAGCATGCGGAACAGTCTTTGAAGATCCTCTCTTATGAGATGTAAGAAAGCAATTCTCTTTTCTGTATCCAAAGGCTGCCGAGGCTGGGATTTCCTGGCGAAAACCTGACGCATCTTCGGCTCATACGTCTCTTTGAAAAACGGCAACGCTACAACCATTCCCACTCCTCGTAGCTATCGACGTCGTCCAAAACACCCACTTTCAACTCGCGCCTTCAAATAAGTGGGCCGAAGCCAATGCCCACTAAAACAAGAGAGTTGCATAGAATCCAATCGTAAGGTCTCGTTACCTGCAAGTCGCTCGAGACTTGAGTTTCCATGGGAACGAGCATGGTTTCGGTGAGTGCTTGGAGGAATAAGAAAGACGGGAGTATTAGCGTTGCTGTCTATTTGCGGGCTTGGGGCTAATTTCTTGGGTGTTTGATGGTGGGTGGTAGGCCTTTTGTTTGGAATGGTGGGTAAATTTGGATTAATGAGATTAGGGGTAAGTTGTTCAGACGTACTTGCTCGGTGTGAGAGACGACTTGGGTTGTTTGGTCAATATGGTGGACTGAGAGGTTATTTGGCTGGGGACCATCTTCTGAGGCTGTAGTCTGTGTTGTTGACATTGCTATGGATATGACGCTGGTGTCCGATTCAGGGCTCATGTTTGTGATGGTTTTCGTCGTTGGTGGATTGTTATCTAGGAAAGCGGAAATTGAATAAAGGTTGTGATTTACTTGCTACTAAACGGCCTGTAGGTACATGACATGAGAATGTAGCTCATATAAGTTTTGATATATACCAAGTTCCAACGGTTATCTACGTATAGCTGGTAGTATCCTTTGCCTTTGACTGATTGGCGGGCCACTCTGCATGGTAGCCGTGCTTGAACCTCCGTGCCACACCCGCCGATACAAACTCATCCCAATCCCAGTGCCAAGACTTTGAACGCAGCGTAGGGCGTAGCTATTGGAACCTGCATAATGCGTAGGTAATAAACTTAAAAGAAGAATATTATGCTCTAAAGTGTGTATTCAGGCACAGTGCTAATCCAAAGAAATTTCGTTTCATTCAGTTCTCATTATAGCAATAAAGCGAGTGACAACAACTGGCTTAAAACTACAACCATCCTTTCCCCCTGTCCTCCTAAGCGGAAAAGAATCCATATCTACTCATTCCTGCACCGCTTCATTCGTAGGACCTCACGTGGCGGAGTTTCCATGAAGCATCCCCTGGCCCTTGGTACTGATGTAGCCCAAACAAGCTACTTTCTTGGGTTTGGTTTGCAAATGCATTCGCACTGTAGATTGTTGCAAGTTTTACAATTGGAGTACTGACCTCGTTAGTTGTCAAATCTAGGGTTCCGCTTCCTTCGAAATACATTAACTGCTGTGGCATAAGTATTAACCGGCCTAGTTAAATGCGTTTCCGGCATGCTAGCCATGGTAAGATAAAATTGTGTTAAATAGGCCGAAAGTTGAGCGTACGAGAATCGAGGTTGACTAAGGTGTGTGTGTGCAAATGGACTTTCAATAGAATAAGCTTTGCTGCGTCTTACGACATTATATATCCACGTCTACAGCCGTCTCATGAGATAACTCCTCGGATCTACCTACAGACTTGATAGGCGTTTAGTCTCCTACTGATGCAATTATGCACTAGAGATAGAACTTTGTGCCCGAAACGGAAGCTGGGCTTATCTTTCGTATTCCACTTGCCAATAGACGACCTCTTACTATCTTGATTGCCATTCAGCCTTGTGATTGTGTTACCACATGTATTGGGGGCATAAGTAGTGTCTAGATGGTTGGTTGACCATGCAGGAAGGCTGGACTCAAAATCCCACTTACTAGGCAAATCCCTTTAGCGAATACACAACAAATAATAACGTCTGAATGCAGACCTTTGCGGTATGTCTTGCGAGTGTTTCACAAAACGTTAAGTCTGTGTGCTCCTGGCCAACTGCGATCTTTCCTCAAAGTCTTTCTCTATAACAACTAAGACTGAATATTAACCAAGACCCTAGTCATGTACTCCACGGGTTGACCGCTTACATTTGTCAAACCACCTAGTAGAACCGCTAACTTTACCCAATAGCACTAGTCGTCTCCTTACTTTGCACTCCCCCATCGCGTCCGCTCATCACCGCCAACCCACGACTTCTCTTGGTATCCAAGACGCTGCTTGACCTCATGCACCGTTGCCTGGTCTCCCGTATTCTTGCCAATGTTGTCGCTAATCTTCACAGCATGACGGCCCTGCGCAGACGCAATCTTGATAACGATATTCAGGGGTACAGACTTCTTCCCTGTGGATATTTCGACAAAATCATCTGTTCTAGTTAGTCATGTATCCAGCTTCCATGGCTCAAATACTTACTCGTCAAGAATGTGCCTACGCCAAAAGTTGGCTGGAACCCTTGCTCCTCTGCTGCTGCTTTGTACTTGAAACAGAGTTCGAGGTTGAGAGAGTCTGAAAAGACAATCGTCTTCTTATCTTTGATACCTTCTTTGTCGTAAAAGTCACGCATCATCTTGATGAATTCTAAGGGATCGCCAGAGTCTTGGCGCACGCCGTTGAATACTTGAGCATATGTTTTCTCCGAGGCCGCATCTCCATCGTATGGTGCCTGGACAGGTGGGTTTGTCGAAGCCAAGGTTTCCACCGCATCGCTTGTTGTTGTGTTCTCTGATGACGCCAGTGTCGTGCTGCCTCCTGGAACCGCCGTGGTAATTCGAGGGATGTGCTCCTTAAAAGCCCTCAGGAACGCTGGTGTACCAAACGTATCTGTAAGCGCAATGCTCAACACACCAGCTCCGAAAGTGGCAGTCCAATACTCGAGAGCAATCTCATTTGCTTTCTCGTAGTTGTTCGTGATGGCAGCCACGCCCATGAACCACTCGTGCGCAACAGTGCCGATAGGGACGAGTCCGTGTTTCATGGCGAAATGAACATTGCTGGTCCCCGAAAGTTTACCCTTCCACCCTAGTTTGGCACCCTCGTCAGCTGCCCGGCGCAAACCCTGCAGTACCAGGTCTTGGGTGTGATAGTCTCGCCGCCTCCTCGAGCCAAACTCTGAAAATATGCAGCCTCCTTCTAGCAGTGCCTTCCCCTTCTGGTATGCCTTCTCGACTTGGCCGTCGTGGTTCCAGTCTGTTTCGACAAATTTGAAGTATGCCTCGCTCACAAGCGCCAGTAGCGGAATCTCGTACAGGATGGTGTCGAGCCATAGGCCTTCAGTGTGAATATGGAAGTCGCCATAATCGCTGTCCGAGCTGGTGTCATTTACGGGGGTAAAGGATAGTCTAAGCTGTTTCGAAGGTTTCAGGCGAAAGGTAGAGAGGAAGTGCAGGTATTGCGCGTTTAGGTAGGGACAGCTATCTTTCAAAAATTTGAGTTCTTCATCGGAAACGGACACATTCTCAAGCTCTACGAAGGGTTAGCACGCGCATGGCTATGGAAGCACCTATACAAACTATTTACTTGGGCCTGCAGCCATTTGAAGGCTGCCCGACTGAGTTTCTTGTCTGGCGTGCGGTTGGTGAAACCATATGTGACTGCGACATCAGGGAAGAACTTCAATATGCAACATTGCATAGTCAGTTTGTACAGATCCGTGTCTAAGAGGGAGAAGATGCCCTCGGGCAGGGTTGCTGGTTCGGCCGCCATTGCGTTGCGCCGGGATTAGAGCCTCAGGGTGAATTGCAGCGTCCGGTCGCGGCTTCTGATAGCAGTCAATGGAGGGATGGTGGGGCAGGCGTGGGTTTAATTGTAGAACAGTAGAGTAGCGCGTTGAGTGGGTCAGATAATTGCAAACATGTGGTTTGAATGGCAAGAAGCAGGCGGCGAGAGATTTTTATGTAGTTTCCCGGTGCGATCGTCTTCACTGTGCCCACAGAAAAAAAGGTACTTTCCCTTTGACATGGATTGTTCCGATTGCTGTCATCATGCGGCGCGTGAAGTCATCGGCGGTTAGCGCAATCTCGTTCAGCCCTACAAACCCTGAATGCGCATGAAGCCTCGGCGCTGGCTCTCTTCTTCCTAATTCTCCGGGGCCGAGTCACCCCTTCGCTCTTTACATCAAAGATATGCTCGTTGCCCTCTCCATTTTCGCCCTGTCGCTTTCTTTCCTTGTTTACCAGCGCCCACCCTCGACATGGCTTGCCTTTATCACTCGCCTCAGCCGACCAGGAACGAGCACGATACCTGATAAGTCGCAGAATGGCAACAAAGAAGACCCCACCCCGGCCAGGGAGGAGCGCATAGAGCTCAAGTCCCCATCGAACCATGAGGCAGTTGATGGGATTGACAAAAGCCCATCGCTCGAGTCTACGCCAAAAGCTATGCCGAAATCAGACAATAATGCGCCTCCTGTGCCCTCCTTCACGCTCAACGAGCACGACAGTTCGGATGAGGAGGAGGAAGACAATCTGCCACCGCCTTCATTTCCAGCTATGAACTCGGCACAAAGAGCCTCTCAAGCGCCTCCTCAATTTGCCATGCCTCCACCTCAAAAGCCGACCCTTATGGCGCCACCTCCCAAACCCACTACGTCTCTCATGCCGCCACCGAGAGTCGCAGCCTCGAGTCTACGTCCCCTCCCCAGCTCCACGTCCTCACAATCTATGCGCGTACCCACCACCGGTCCTCTTCCGAACCGCGGACCGCTCCCGAATCGAGGCCCGCCCACCTCAAACGGAGGTCTCGGAGTCCCACCAAGCGCAGGCCCCGCCATCAAGACACCAAACGCACGGGGCAAAGTGCTCCTGTCGCCAGGTCACTCGCCGCTCGACTGGGCCCACCTGCAGAAATCCGGCAAAAACCTGTCTGGCGTCGACTCCATGATTCGCGTTACACCGGCCATGCTGAAGGAGAAGAATGGGCGCAAGGGCAAAGATGCATGGTCGAGCTATCAGGGAAAGGTGTACAACATCTCGCCCTATCTCCCGTTTCATCCCGGTGGAGAAGGCGAGCTTCGTCGCGCGGCGGGTAAAGACGGGACGAAGTTGTTCATGGAGGTGCATCCGTGGGTTAATTGGGAGAACATGCTTGGCGAGTGCATGGTGGGTATTATGGTTAGCGAGGAGCAGGTACCTAAGGCTGCAGAGGGTGATCTAGAAGATATGGATTGATGTGTGATACCCCCCTTATTGTAGAAGGGATGCATTGCGTGGAGTTTTGTGGGTTCTCACAGTGTAAAGAGTAAAGGAAGACTAGCCGAATGTATTTCTTGTTCATTCTTCGCTGATAAACGCAGTAGTAGTCCTACAAAGCCGTGTTCAAGAAGATGAGAGAGACATAAATCATGTGATAATATAGAACAAAAATGTATATACATATTTACATGTAAAAAAAAAGGTACACAGATCCAAACGAATCCAGCCCACCCTGGTATATAAAAGAAGAAAGAAACGAAAAGCGAAATCGATTCACGCTCGTTATGGACTCCTCGGCGAAGACATGGGCGAAGACGCATACCACGGTTCCCTCTCTTCCCTCCATGCATTCCCCGCAAACCCACCCCCAGCATACCGCGCCTCCTCCCTCGCCATATCGCTCTCTGCACTGCCCCTCCCGACATCCATAACCTTATCCCTCAGCTCATCCCTCCAAATCAGCTTCCCCTCACTTGCCCCGCTATCCCTAGGCCGTGCGGCCCCCTGCCCCGGGCGTACAAACGCACTATTCGCAAAATCGCGCTCGACGACTATTTCCTCCTTATCCACCATCTCGGTAACTCCGCGGCCGTTTGCATGAACGAGGATGCTAGTTTTGTTAAGGGAGTGTTTGACGGGTTTCTTAGCGTTGAAGATGTCGCTGATTTCCTCGAGGGTGCGGCGCCGTGTTTCGACGAAGAAGAAGTAGATGAAGATGAATTCGAATATGTCCCAGAAGATGAAGAGGAGGTAGTACTTTTAATCGCCCCGTACGGTTAGTAAACGACTCAACAAATATTGTTTGGGGAAGTGAGGGATGAGAAGAGAGGAAGTGAAGAGGGAGAAAGGGGAAGAGAGAGAAAAAAACATACCTTCCAACCTGCCCCCGAAAACGCAATTCCCGTCACAAACGTGTTGTAAAAATTCGCAATGTTAACCCAAAAGTTATAAAATGCCATACCCTTTGCCCGAGACTCGTACCGTAGACACTCTACAGGGTACAATTGTTGTAATGGTGTGTAACCAACACTATACACGAACCCACAGATAAAGACAAACGCAATAACCGCCTTCGCCTGACCAGGTCGCTTAATTTCAGGCGTCCGATTATTCCCTAGGTAAACCGGTTGCCCATCCGGCCCCGTCTTCAAGTTCGTCGCAACAAGCGCACACACGATTGCGAAGATGAAGACGAGCATCGCCGTCGAGACAAGCAACTGGGGTCTTCTGCCCCAGGAATCCGTGTAGATGGCACCGAAAATGGCGCCGCTGAATGAAACAACGTTTTGCATGCCGTTGTAGAGGAGACGGGTGTGATTGTTGTTTATGCCGGCGCCTTGCAGCATGGTAGGGTAGTAGTAGGAGACGGGCCCGTTGCCGGACCACTGGCCGAAGAAGGCCATGGCGAGGATGAGCATGGTTCTGTAGCGGGCCTCGCGTGAGTTGAAGAGTTCGCGGTAGTCCCACCAGCGCTTATCGGAGCCCGTGACGCTGATATCTTCGACCATTTCTTTGTATTCGAGCTTGACGATGGGCGAGTCGCGGTCGCCTTCGCCGTGCAGCCGCGCCATTGTGTTTAGGGCTTCCTCGTGCCGGTCGTTGGCGATGAGCCAGCGAGGGGTTTCCGGCAGAAATGGTGAACAGCAGAAGACGATGCCCGCGAAGATGAGTTGGAGCCACACGGGGATGCGCCAGGATTGCGTGCCGGGGATGTTGCTTGTGCCGTAGGGAACGAAGGATCCGGGGATACCGCCGACGTACCAGAATGTGTTGAAGATGCCGGTGCAGACGCCGCGGTAGGAAGGATGGGCCATTTCAGATACATATGCTGGACCGGCAGTCGATGTGATGGCGACACCGAAGCCCAGAATGAAACGACCGCCCATGAAGCCACCGAGGTTGACACATGTTGCTTGGATACAAGCACCGACAATGATAATCGAAGTGCCAATAAACATCCCCCATTTTCGTCCTCGGAAATCCGTAGCTGGGCCCGCTACAAACGAGCCGACAAGGTTACCAATCGTATAAATGGCATAGACGATTCCAGTAGTCGGCGTACCCTCATCGATATTGAAACCAAAATAGGAGCGGTACTGGTGATAGCTGTTGATTGCACCCATGAGCGATCCATCGTACCCGTTGATGCAAGAGTTAAGCGTGGCGATGAAGAGGCAAAAGTACAACTAATGTCATAAGTTAGCAAGGCAAAGTACAATGTACAATAGAAAAGAATAGCTTTGTGTCAAAAACCAACCTTGAACATAGCCTTTGTCCACGGCCTAACATTAGCCTTCGCCGTAGCATCGGCAAAAGCAACGTTCTGAACCTGCCGAATCTCCACGGTGCTACTACTACGCTCCGTATGCGAAGTATGCACATCCCGCTTGTGAATATGCTCCATGTTGCCCGACTACTAATCCCACAGCGGGGTCAGCACCGGGGGAGAAGAGAAAAAACGAGAGAACGTAATTGTTGGAGCAAAAAAAAAGGTGTGGCATACACAGAGAGAGAAGGGAAAGTGAAAGCCCGCCCCGTTGGTGATGGTGTGCCCCGAGGAAACAGTTAGCGACGGGTGTGGGCATCGGCCTGCACATCAATCCCACCAACTGACCTACCTCCAGCACCATAAAACAAGCCAGGAACACGCGCGGAGAAAGAAGTGGCTGCGGCGTGGGTGGCTAACTAAAGTGGAGTTTTGCATACTACGGCAAGGCGGCGGAGGGAATGGAGGGGTCAATTTAATTTAATCAAGCCCCCATGCGATCCATATCTAAGACTTGGAATATATGCTTCGCCAGCGGGCCCCATGAAGAAAAAGGCCAATCCACCCACTGAGACATGTCAGATTTCCAGGCAAGGTGGGAACTGGGTAATAGCAGCTTGGTCGTACAACGCAAGGGGGTGGATTGGTTGAGTTTCCGCGGGGCTGCGCCCGCATGATGACCGGGTATTTGTACAGATGCAGCGTCGCTTCGAGGTGACCCGTAGGCGCAGAGCGGCTATGATTGGGTGTTTCGTGGGTAAATGAGGAACGGGCAACAACATGTGGATTGGGGATGGATGATGATGATGATGCGTGTGAACAGGAGGAGAAGGAGCCCTGGCTGCCCGTTGGGAAGAAGGAAAGAAAGCCCGGTTTCTGACTGCATAGGGCGAAAAGCGTTGGTGGAGATGGGGCGCGTCTCGTGTTGGTGGAGGGTCTACACAGTAGTATGGTAGGAAGGCCAAATGTCCACCACAGGCACTCAACCACACAGGCGACTGTGATCTAGGGCTGCCTGGCGTTTGACGCCGCAATCCTTCGTCGCTTCCAACCCTTGCCATATACTCGACGCGGCACGCTCGTCCGCGCGCTTTCGTCAGCCTTTTGAGATTCCCGAAGGTCGCTTGCATGGAACATACATATATACATATTTGTGAGACGGCAGCCAGAGAGCATCGCGCATATCCGATTGCGCGATGCAAGAGTGCCGCTACTTGTTATGGGGAAACATGGGTTTCTAACGTAGAGCATTGCGTCAAGCCGTTTTCGGCTCTAGTCCCCGAGCTAGCGGTCCGAGGAATCCGGGGAAGCTAGACCCATGTAGGTACACTTGTATACACACATGTATACACACATGTATACTATTTGTATTCAGAACCTCTGTTACACAAAATCTTACTGGGCATCCATGAGCAAATACCTCGCTTCTGTGACGAAATTGCATTCGTATCTACTCGATGCATGTGTAACTGCCGCTTCATGCCAGTATCCACTCCCGTTGCCACCGCGCCTACAGTACGAATATACGCATATTGGTGCCCCACCATAACGGTCAAGTTTATACCCCCGGTCGTACCATTAGACACGCCTAAGGTGCCGAAGATCTGCTTGTCGTGTGGTCACCTGTACCTACTGCACTTTGCAACGAATTACACCATCCAGGATCTCGGGTTAATTCTAGAAGCCACTAGTCCTACCAGCTTGCATGCCATCTATGAACATGAGACACGTCCAACCACACACATCACACTTAGATAGAACAACCTTGTGGATATTATACATGTATCCTGCATCTAAACTACGAGGCTTTGGGGAAAGGTGACTCTACAAGCCTCCCTGCAGCCCGTCATGAATACAAACCCTGCTCTCCTCCAATCCCACGCACCCCATCGATAAGCGCCCATCTTCCACAAACACGCTACTCGTCTATCCTTGCCCTAGTCGCCTACTCATCATCATCTGGATTAGTGTCCGATTCGTAGACAAACTCGCTCGGAGTTGACGCCTCCGCCTCGCCCTCGTAGACCATGTTGTCATTGACCGGCGCTGCAGCTGTTGTTACTGATACGCCTTCTGGTGCTTGTTCGCCAGATGATCCTGATGCTCCAGGGGCAGGTGCAGGTACAGCCTTCTTTACCTTGAGCTCAAGGAGCGTCTTTGGTTCCGAAGGCTTGGTATCTGTAAGAAGAATCACACCAAGAGTTGGCTGCTCATGTGTTAGCTTGGCTACCTGATCGAGTACGGCTTGTACGCCACTCACCTTCTTTACTGGTACATATCGCTCGCTTGGGAAGCTAATGTACTTAATTTGTGGCGGCAGCACACGCGACATGTTCTCCAGCTCGTAGCCCACCTTTTCCTTCTCTGCCTTCTTCTTCGACAATGACTCTGCGGCCTGCGCTCCCTCGGCCTTGTCTCCCTCTTCCTTCTTCGAGTCCTCATCAACATCCATCTTGTCGTCGTCACCCGATGGCTTGGGTGTGGCAGGAGTATGGTCGACATCCATGCTTTCTCTTCGCTTTTGGCGCTCCTTGACCATCCGTCGTCGCTTGTCTTGGGCTGTGGTTGACAAGACTGCTGTCTTGATCTTCTCTGGCGCCTCCTCTGCCTTGACTTCAGCATCAGGCGGGTAGTCAAACATGCTCGGCCGTGTGTTGCTGTGGAACTTGAACGATGGGATCTCAAGCTCCTGGTCCAGGCCAATGACGGCAGTAGGCGTGAAGCTGAGAGACAAGAAGTGCGTCAAAGGGAACCAGTACCAGTACTGAGTGAACACAGCCATACCAACAATGGCAGTCATGTTCAGATTACCCGTCGGAGTTTGCAGACCAATTGTGCAGTTTCGGCCTCCAGCATCAATGATACCAAGAGCAAGAGCACAGCCGAACTTGGCCATGGCGTCTTCATGACGGTCGCCAATGACCTTGGCCAACTGCTTGCGGATTGATGCTACCTTGGGGTTCATGGCCTCGTTTTGCTGCACCATGATCATGGACAGCGAGATCAAGGCACCTTGACGAACGAAATCGGTAGAGTCCTTCATCATAGGCTCGAGCAAGTCAACGGCCTCAGGGAGTCCGGTTCCGGCACAAGCGATACCGAGAGCCATTGTCGCTCCATAACGGACATGGGGGTTGTACGACTCGGCGAGGAGTTCAACCATACGAGGAACGCTGCCTGGCTTCCGGAATAGGATGAAGCCCAAGCTCATGACTGCTACACGTCGTACATCATCGCTCACGTCACTGACCGCAACGTGCAACAGCCTTCGGACAGCCTTGTTGCTACCCGTACCGCAGTATGCCAACGCAATGGTCATGATTCCTCCGTAGCGTAGAGTTGGGTCTGGGTCATCGAGGAGACCGTTGATGAGCTCATCAGCAGCCTCTTGTCGGCCATACATGATGAGTGCCATACCCATGGCCAAACCTCGGACAATCTTCTCGTGCTGTGTGTCGTGTGCATACTGAATCATGTCCTCAAGTGCCTTGATGTTGCCTGTGCCGAGCATGACAAGACCCATGGAGAGACCAACTGCCTCACCGTTGATGGCGGAATCGGTATACAGTACGTTCTTGAACGCTTCAAAAATCTCCTCAGAGCCCGTAGCCATGCCTGCGACACCAAGACCGAGCGCACCACCGTGCTGAATGACCTCCTCAGACGCATTCTGGAATTGCTTCAGGAGCAAGTCAAGAACGTTACTGCCGTGGTTGGCGTAAATCAAACCAAGAGCATACAGTGATCCACCTTGTTCGTAGTGAGAACCTGACGAAACACTGTCCTTGGGTAGGTATGGCTCGAGTAGTTTCTGTCCTTGAGTAATGTTGCCACGGTGGATGACACCTAAAGCAGCGGTCGCCGAGAACTTTGACCAGTTGACTGCCTTTCCTAACCATTCCAAGTTCTCGCGGAAGAATGTGTCGTTGGTGGTGCCTGCATTCATGAAAGCGTTTGCAAAGGTGACACTAGAGTGGAAAATGGAGTTCCTAGCCTCCAGGCTGTCGCGAACCTTGTTCAGGATAGCCTTGTCTGTGCGGTTGTTCCTGTACAGGAACTCGAGGTTCAGTTCGATGCTCTTTGTTCCCCGAAGGATATGGCGGACAGAGTTGAAAGACTTGAGTTGGTCCTCGGTCGATTCAGAGTCTTTGGAGCCCGAGACATTGCTGGTATCGGCATTTGCGAGTAGAGAGTCTGATTCACCTGCTTCGGTCGATTGGGGCTTCTGAGTCTCTTCCTCTTTCTCGGCAGGGAGCTCTTCCATGACCTTGCTCAAAAACTCTTGTGTACCGTTCTCGTAAAGGTCGAAGGAAATCTGGTATGCGATAGCTCGTGACTTGTCGTCGCCGCGCTCGATGAGCTGGCGAATCAGTTTCGAAGCGAGGGCATGCTGGTTGAGGTAGACAACGCATTTGGCGATAGAGAAGTAATCAGGGTTGGGTATCTGGTCATCGTTGAGTAGATCCAGAATCATGCGAAGAATCTCATTTCTCAGGCCACGCTCTTGTACCACATTCATGCAAATGTCGAGAACATATTCCATCAAATCCTCGCTCTGTGCAGACGGTTGTGCGGGCTTCTTTCCTTGCTTCTTTCCCTCTTGGCTTGCGCGCACAATAGCTTCGCGCAATACCTCAAGATTCCGAGCCTCAATGGCGATCCCGACAACCTGCTTATAGTTGCCACTCTCGTAGCAGCTCTCGAATATCCTCCTTACGGTGCTGTGGAGGTTCTTCTGCACATTCCGCTGCAGCACCATCGGAGTAGGGTGTGCTCCAGGGACGCCAGCATTGCCTCCACCAGGGACAGTGGGGTCGAATGTAGACGAGTCCTCCCTGGAAAGGAGCGACTTTGATGGTAACGCGGACTGGGAGAAGGGTGTTATCGGCGATGCCAGGCTAGCTGAAGTGCTGGCACCGCCAGCAGCGCTTCCCGAAAACGATGTGCTCAGTTGTGGAGGGGCCTGGCTTGCCTTGCTCACCGGTGTCGGCGGGTTGTGCATGACTGAGAGCGCGATGTACGTATCTAAGCATTTCGCTATAAAAAGCAAATCAGAATATGCTCTCCAAATGATAACGAGCTCAATGCCTCAACAGGAAGGGAAAGGGTCTAGATGTGAAGATAGGCATAAAGGACTGCGGTATCCTACCTAGTATTGTCTCCTCGAACTCGGCAGCCTTGTGGATGTCGAAGAGCTTGCCCGCACCCAGCGCGAAGACCATGCTCTCATTGTACTCTTGCAGCTGGTAGTATACCTTTGCTGCTACCAGGGCCGCAAGCTCGCGCTCGGGAAACGATTCATCTTCGTAGAGGGCCTCACTATGACGGCATCCATATCAGTAGCTGTACGATAACGGGAATTACCCAAGTAATGTGTGAAGTATGTATCTGAGCTTCTTACATTTGACTGACGGAGCCCGCGACTTCTGGCCATAACAGGTCGATCTCCTCGTTCAGCCGCTGGAGGGCGAATGAGCGCAGGGCGGGATCCGGTTCGGAGAGGAAGCCAACAACGCCGGCGGCAGATGTAAGGCCAACCATTGTGTTGTGCTGAGCGAGGATAATACGTGTTTCGGTGTTGTGAAACGGTTGCCCGCGGTGTTGAGGAGAGAAGGAGCTGTTGCGGAAATAGGTAGAAGGCGATGGAGCTGCGCAGTGGCGCCTGCGGGCTTGCCTGCGATCAGAGGACACGGGGGAACCGTGATGCTTCGGACTTTAGCGTGACCGCTGCAGTGAATGAGGGACAAAGATGTGAGATTGAGGAGAGATTGATGGGGATGGCGAGGCGCCGTGGTGGTGAGTTCGGGGAACCGTGTACGTGATGGTCTAAACACAGCTCGTGAGTTTCGGAAGCGGCGACCCTGGTCCACTTCAACATGACATAATACGCTAGCTTGCACATCACTCCCACGATAAGATCCATGGCGTGCACCTCACTTGCGATGTGTGACTCTGCACAGAAAAGGAGTTTGTTTGATCATTAGGAATAATACTTTTGCAAGTAACACGGAACTGGCACAGCCGGCATAGCTAGTAAAGCTGCATCCTTGCCCCTGAATATTAATCACAGGCACAGAGTGAAAGAGCAAGTAAGTAGCCATATGATGCGATGTAAATAGTGAGGAATCGGGTATCTTATTTTGGAAACACAAACTCCTGACGATGCTGATCCCGAATTTGCTGTTTCGCGTTGAACCTTCCAAACGCCGTATACGAACAACAATAGTATTACAGTACAGCCATACACTCGTCCATACCCCTATGCAGTAGGACCAGGACCAGAAACCGTAATCTCACGCGACAACACCCGCAGGTTGTTCATCATCCCGTTGATCAGGCTCTCGAATTTGGTGGGCTCCTTTCGTCTCACCTTGTCTGCTTCTGCTATGAGCACGCCAGAGTCTAGTTCCAGCTCCAGTTCGTGGTTCTTGCTGGGCCCTTGAGAAACCTGTGTTAGATCAACCTGATAAGCACCTAGCCACGAGTATGACATGCGATCCTTTTGCCGGTGCATACCCTCGGCCGTCTTTCCACCCTCCACAGCAGGTGTGAGACTTTCTATAGGACCTGGGAAGTCGATCTCCAAGTTGATGCCAATGCGGTAGTCCCACTCGGTCTTTGGAGAGCTGACTTCGAGGTTGCCTAGCCTGTGCTTTATAATCGCACGCAAGAACTCGCCCGTGTTTTTGTCGCGCGTCACACGAACACGCTGTCGGCCACCAGCTGTGCTTATCAAACGCTGAACAATGGGATTCAAAGAGCTGAAGCCTTGCTGGTCTAGTTCGTAGAACATGTCCGTCTCGTAGGTGTGCCGGTAATCGATGGGAGGTCGTGGGGCTCCTGGAGCCTTTGATTGTTGAACCTGAGCGTTTAGAAACAGGTTCATGCGCTTGTGTTGTTGCGCCGTCATGGTACTCTCAAACTTGACTTCCAAAACATCGGTATTCAAAACCGTCTCTGTGCGCCAAAACCCACGCAGTCGCTGGTCCGTCTGCTTGTCTATGATCTGACCCCAGCGCGCTTCCACTTCCAGCTGCACTTTTGGATCTGCGATCGCGCTCCGCACAACTTCATTGTTGACGGCCGTGTTCCATATAAAATCGCATACGTTGCGTGACACGTCATCGTAGATTTGTGCGTCGTTGGAGATGGGTCGCTCGAAGCCAGAGAGTTCGCGCACCGCTGCCCCTGGGGGAGGAGCGCCTTTTTCTGCTGATGGATGTCCGTCTCGCTCAGCCATTGGCGACAGTTGGGCTCGCGGCTGAGGGTGAGCCTGGGGCGGAGGCTGCGCGTGCGGCTGGGGTTGAGCGACAGTCGGCGGCGGACGCGACTGCTGGCGCTGCTGCTCTTGGAGATGCTTCAGTTCGGGGGGAAGCTCCTCACCCTCGCGATAAGCCCATATTGGCTTTGGGTCGTGGCGTTTGCGCTTGAGCGACATCTGCTTGAACTTGGTTTTAGGCGGCGGCGAAGGTATCTTTGCAGCGAAAGTGACGGGAGAAGAGGTCGCGGTGGAATGGGGGATGGAGAGCGAACGGCGCGGTAGCACCGTTGCGTCTCCATCATGATTCACTAGCGCAGATATATCCATGGAGGGTGTGGTAGGGTTGTGCGTCGGTCAATGTACTCACCATCGTGTACCAGGAGGCTAGTGTTGCCAGCGCACGGCCCTCAAGAGCAAAGTGACCCTGGCTGCGCGGTCCAAAGCCGTTGCCTTGGGTGTCGCTCTAGTCTTTGTTAGGTTTCAACACATGCTGGCCGTTCCCCGGGCCTGCTTTTGATGGAAGTGTAAGGTGTTCATTCAGAGTTTGCCTACTATCCGCTAGTGTCTACATCAAATCTTGCGGTTCATGCGCCAGACCGTCATTTGGCCAAGCGAGTCATGTATGTGCATCTTGTGCAGCCCTCTCTCTCTCCACAAACACACGCCCCCTTCTATCAATAAACAGAACGTCTCCGCTCCCGCGGTACCCTTACGCGTCTTGGTCAAGGCCCAAATCTTCCTGCGCCGGGACAATGCGGAGCGTGTTCGTGTGTCCCATGCCTCCCCTCCAACCTTGCACGCAAACAACGGGATCACCCTTGCTGAGCACTCCGAGCTTGATGGCGTTCATGATGCCCCACTTCAGCCGGCGGTCAACGTCCTCCTGCCATGGCTCCGTCTTGAAGTCTGGCTTCGCCTCGGGGAAATAGAATGGGTAAACGCCGCGGTACAGGTGTGAATACTACACAAATTAGTGACGAATACACTTCTCGTATTTCGCATCAACTTACCCTAGCGGCCATCGCGTTACGGGTAACCATAATGATGGGGCAAACAGGCCTGTACTTGGAGACGAGGCGGGCGGTCGTACCACTAACATTTGTTAGAATTAGTCGGTATATAGGCCTTTGAGCCACTCACCTGGTCGTCAGAACCAGAATAGCACCGGCATTCTGCTCAAGACTAGCGCTGACGGCGGCCATGGCGCATGTCTCAGTGGTTGGGCATGGCACGGGAGCAAGCTTTCGCAGCTCGTCGAATGCGTTGACATATGGAATAGCGACTTCAGCGAGCAAGCATGTCTCGTGCATCATAGTAACAGCCTCTATAGGGTAGTCACCCTTTGCAGTCTCGCCAGACAACATGACGCAGTCAGCACCGTCGAGGACAGCATTACCAACGTCGCTGACTTCGGCACGAGTTGGACGTGGGTTGTAGGTCATAGACTCGAGCATCTGGGTGGCGCAGATGACGGGCTTGCCGGCAATGTTGCACTTGGTGATCATCATCTTCTGTGCAATGAAGACCTGGCTGGGTGGGATCTCGATACCAAGGTCACCACGAGCAACCATGACACCGTCAGTCTCTCGCAGAATCTCGTCGAAGTTGTTTACACCCTGCTGGTTCTCGACCTTGGCAATGATTTGGATGTCCTTGCCCTCCTCACCGAGCACCTCACGGATGGCGGTGATGTCACTGCCGCGGCGGATAAAGGACGCAAAGACCATGTCGACCTTGTTCTTGACACCAAACTTGAGATCGGCCTTGTCCTTCTCTGAGAGTGGGGGAAGATCAATGTCGGTCTTGGGCAGGTTGACACCCTTCCTTGACGAAATCTTTCCGTTGTTGACGCACTTACACTTGAGCGTCTTGTCGTCTACGATCTCGAGGACCTCAAATGAGAGAACACCATCGTCGACGTAGATTGTGCGGCCAGCCTCAATCACCTTGGTGATGTTCTTGTAGTCGACATACATGTTCTTGTCGTCGCAGGCAGTGGCGTATTGTTCATCGGTAGTGATGTTTATGATGGCACCGGCCTTGATGGGGATATCAGCATCGCCCACGGTGTTACCCGTTCGGATCTCAGGGCCCTTGGTGTCGAGGGCAATGGCAAGCGGCCTGCCGGGCTGTGATTGCTCGGCTTCGCGCGCATGGTCAATGACGGACTGGTGGTACTCGTACGAGCCGTGGGAGAAGTTCATGCGGACCACATTGAGACCGACTTTGCGGAGAGCATTGATCTTCTCAGCAGAGTTGGTCTTGGGACCGATGGTGCAGATAATGGAAGTTCGTCGGTACTGCTTGGCAGGGGTGTACTCAGTGTTGAGCTGGCTGAGCCACTCGATCCTGGTCCTGCCGGAGTTGAGGTGGTCTAGACTACATTCGGGGTCAGTGAATGCTCCGAAAAGAATATAGTCCCGACATGCCCATGGCGCGCAGTTGTCGCTGCAAAGCTGCAGATCCAATGATACCGACTATGGGTAAACTGATCATCATGGAGCAGGAAGGTAAGTCGAGAACTTGGTATAGAGCCGAGTTGGACACTTTTCCTTCCCGCGGAGCTGTCTTATCTGCGCAGGCATACGTGGACTTGCGCCGGCCATGTCTGCTACAAACAAGAAGCCTGCGGTATGTGAATGAAGTATACGTACGCGTTTGCCATTTTCTACGTCTAGTAGTGTCTGAATGGGGATAGAAGGAGGGAAAGAGAGGACTGTGAGCGAAGTTATATCGCTGTAGCGGAGTGCGGGGCCGGTAGGAGCAGTATAGAGACAGTCCACTTGGCAATGTGGTGGCTGCAGAGTAGAGGAAGAAGAGGAGAAGGTGAGCGAGCTGGCTACGAAGACAACGGCGCTCGACGAGTTTATCTTGTACAGGCCCAGGCTAGAAGTTTTGTTGGCTGTTGAGAGTGTTTTGGAGGGGCAGTAGTTTTAGCGCTAGTGTAGGTGCTTAGTACGTGGGGCTGCACCCTGAGCGACGGCACGTTTGGATATAACAATTGGAAACGGATTGCGATGGAGAACTGGGCTTGGTAGCAAAAAAATGTGGGCTTGATAGCGCCACTCAAGTTCCGCTGACTGGCCTGCTGACGGCATTTCTGACCTGCCCCCGTGGTGGTGGTGACTCTCTTCGCCCATTGCTTGTTCGAAACCACCCACGTTGCGGCGTCATTTGCACTCAAGCATCCCACTCCGATAAGGCCCTGTACCTACAGACGCAACCTGCTGCTCAAGGCCATTGCAAATCGCGGCGCCGCATTCCGGTGTCCCCGTCCGGTGTCCGAATTCCGGTGTCTCGTCTTCGCAGCTTAGCTAGTGGGCATTTGAGTTTATGTATCGGTGCGCGGCCGGATGCTGGCGTGTCATTGCATTTTTTTCTTCAGTGCTTGTGCCCGCGTGGAGATGCATGGTGCCTTGGGGGTCTCATGGGGTCAAGATCATGGAAAAAAGAGCCCTGAAGAGGCTTCACCACGTTGAGGACGGCCTAGTTATATATCACCTGCCTGTAGCATGGCCCGCTCCTAGATCACCCGTAGGTGCTCCGCATGGCCGTGGTGCCCGAGGTTCAATCGCTGTCCGCCTGCCACTGGGACGTGGGTATCCTGGAGTTCCATATCAGTGGGTACAATCACGGCCACCGCCGGGTGTCCCGAGGTTGTACCTGTAGTACAGTATGTGCGGATGGCCTGCTGTAAGCGATTCACGGTTTGTCACTCTGCAGGTACATGGGCTGCGTCTGGGTGTGCAAATACCACAGAATGCTCCGATCTCTTGCCGTGGTCCAGATCAACATGTAACGGCGCGGGAACCCTACTAAAGTCGCGCATGCTGTGTGCAAGCTGAATCACATGCAGGGAGAGTGACTAACCACGGCACCAGCCACACGTCTCTCCACCACTTCTACCTAATCGCTCTTACACCGCATCCTTCAACCACTCAACAACCGCCACCCGCGACAACACCCATACCCGCCACACTCTTTGGTACAGTGATCGCCAAACAACTCCCCCAAACACAACTCCGCTTCGCCCCATACCCTCCACAATGGTCGTAGGTAGCCTGCTCCGGATCCGCGCCTCTCGGGCCGCCGAGTCGCATCCTCAGTAGCTTACACTCCCTCCAGCTCGGCAAAGTCGCACATTACGCTTTTGATGCGGTACTAAGTACGTACACAGAAAGTATGCCTATTTCAAAAACAATACCACTAACCGTGTCACAGTCTCCGCTTTCCTGGCTGGCGTCCGGCGCTCAACCGGCCTCACGTACGTCGTCCCCATCCTCTGTCCTTCCTAGGCACAACCACCCCCCACTCACCACCACACACAACAACTTCCCGGCCCGAGCAATATGCTCAACATGATTTCGCGGCATTGATATAAGTCTGGAGCTAAAGCTAAACCCCAGACCCAGTTTAAAGCCAGATTCCTTCAGCGAAAACCCCAGCGCCCTCAAGTGGTTTGAAAACTACCTTTGGGTCGGCGAGACCGTCATGGATCAGAGCGTCGCCCTATTCGGTGCCAGCTCGTACTTTGAGCGCAAGCGATAAATCACCCTTTCCCATATGTACACACTGAGTACGAGAGCTTGGTAGTCGAAGAATGAAAGAGACCCTTGTGGCAACGGGCGAGAAACAAATGCGATGCTGAGCCGTTTCGGGTGGAAGGAAAAAAACAGAGACAGAAACATTGCAGTGGGACTGTAGAGACATGGATGTAGTCTATGGGAAGTGCGACCTGCGTAGTACGCAGCACGACACAACACCAGGCAGAGAGCATGTGGTCATGTGGGTTTAAATTTCCTCTTTTCGCTCCTTGGGTGGAGGGTGTTGGGACGCCTACTATCTCATCGTCTATCTAGACGATACGAATTTACGCTTTTGACATTTGCATCAACGTTTTTCCTCAACCGTGACAATGCGATGAATGCGATTTCGCTCCTTAAGTAAATAACCTATCTGGGTATCATGCTTTTGGGCAGAACACAGGAAAACCATACACACTCCATATTTCTAACCATGCTTCTCTTTACACGCGAAACGAACCTTATCCCCTCCGCTTAAACCTAAACCCCGTCTCCTCATCATCGCTATCATCGTCTCTCCTCTCAAACCTGCCCTTCTTGGCCGGCGGCCCACTCGCAGCTCCGGATCCCCTCTTCCTGGTACTTCCCTGCGTCTGCGTACCCTCGAGCTGCGTTTCGACAACTCGCTGCGTCCGCCCGCTACTCCTCTGCGCCCGCCCTGTAGGGACCACCTCCTCGTCATCGGGCCCACTATCCTCGACATTAATGACTTCCCGTGGCGTCTGAGTCTGCGTGCTGTGTTTGCGTCGAGCGAAGCCGCCCACTTCTGGTTCAGAGGCCTCATCATCGTCGGCTTGTGTGCCGCGGCGGCTGTGGTGCGAGCGCGATGAGGGTTCCACGTCTTCGAGGAAGAAGGCGTCGCTGATGCCGAAGCCTTTCTTTGGCGGGGCCTCTTCGAGAGTGACGAGGACTTTGTGGCTTTGCACGCCTTGTTCAGTGCCGCGACGACGGAAGCGCTTGAAGTTTTTGCGGCCGTTCCATTCGGGATTCCAGCGCTCGCTGCCTGCTCTGCTCTGATTGTGCGTGTTGCTTCTGTTTCGTCGTGGTAGGACCTCAATTTCTTCTATCTGTGCTAGGTTCTTGAGCTCAGAGATATCGATGCCTTGGAGTGCCTCTCGCAGGTTCTCTTCGTCTGCTTTACGTCGCTCTTCCTCTTCCTTGATCCGCTGACGCGTGTGCTCGCGGATATTGATCTCTTTCTCTGCTTTGGCCTTGGCCTTGTTGAGTCGTGCCAATGCATCTACGCCTTTGGTGCTTGACTTTTGTACAGGTCCACCTGCTTCAGGCTCCACCGAAGCTGATGGTGCCCGAGTAGCTGCTCTCTGTTTTCTCATCTTCGCGGCCGTTGGAAACAGCGTATCCATCTGTTCCTCTTTTTCGACGCTGTCTTGAATATGTAATGGTAGAGAGGCTTGGTTCTGCGTATTGGGACCAACTTGTGTCTGTGAAGTTGCAACTGATGACCCTGAGGCAGCAACCTCCTGCACATTCTCCTCTGGTATGGTTTCCACTTTGAGCTTCTTCTTCGGGATCGGTTCGTCATCATCGAAACCTGTGAAGCGGCTGGTCTTGGACCTACTTATGCGCTTTCGTGGAATCACCTTTGTGGGTTCTTCTGCCGGAGCTGCACTCCCTTCCCGGGATTGTGAAGGTGTCCCTGACCTGGACATTGGAGTTCGGGCGCGGGTAGAACGTCGAGTTGGAGCTGAGTCGGGCACAGGGTCACTAGAAGGCACTTGGATAACTTCAGCGGGTGGTCGTTGGAGTTGAGTGCGGTCCTTTGCGATGATCACATCGAGGAACTCGTTTTGTAATATGGAGCGTTGACCAAGTGCTTGATCAGCTCCAGTGACAAAGCTTGCAGCCCATTCTTCCATTGCGTCAGGATAGGTTGGCAACCGAACTGTTATAACTGGAAGCTTCTCACCAGTTTTTCCACGTCGTTTCTTGCCTGCGACGGTGTGAACATAATCGACATATTCCTCAACGGTCGTCTCGCCTGGTCGGACATTGTAAAGCAACGCCTTGCCACCTCCACCAGTGACTGGGTCAAGCAAGCTACTGTATTGGCCTTCGTTTAAGAAAACAAAGGTTAAGCCTGAGAAAACTTCTGATCTTGAAGGATCGGGAAGTAGCATCTCCTGCAGGCGAGCGACTGGCTCTGCGCCTGCTGCTGGTATATAGTCCTTCTCAGCCGGCCACCATGTATCAAAGTCCTCCTCCAATTGAGAGGGTATATAGTTTTGTTCTTCATCAACCGATGCGGCTGCAACACGGAGAACCGCTTCAAGAAATTCGGCAGTAACGATGTGCTTGCCGGACGTTAGACCGGAGAGAACCTTGGGCAAGTTTCGCTTCGCTGATACGACATGGGTTGTCTTGTCGAACACAAAATCCGTCGTAGTCTTGATGTCTAGGGAGTGCAATTGCGTACTACGTGCTTTGCCGTCCCCTGACTCCTTGGACGCATGGGTGAACACAACTGGACGCCAAACAATTTTGAACGGCGCATAGCCTTGAGCTAATCGAATCGTATGCTCTGTTCCTTTCAGTATCTCGCTACTGTAGGTCACCATTCCGTCTTCTGCCTTTTGGCTCTTCAGCGTTATCTTTTCATCGATTGTAGTACCTTGACGGCAGCTGAGGTCAGTAACCTCAATCTGTGACCGTTTGTGGAGCTTGGTTCCGTCCTCTGATGCCACCTCATAAACCTTGAGCATAACATGCTTCCTCGATACAGCCTTGTTGTCAATCTTCCAATTCCTTCCTTGTGGGCCGTCCTGGTCGGCCGCCCTAGTTCGACCGAAGAGCTGCTGCGATCCGGGGCGCAGCCACACGCGCTTCCCTCCAAAAAGACTTTCATGTTCCAGGAACCACATTGTTGTGGGCTACGGCGAAGTGGCTTACTAACGATCGGGCGGCGATGTATGTGGTATGTTGCGCATTCTGGCTTTCATGGTACGCCTACGCTCTTTCTCGTCTGGCATGGCACGACATGTGAATAGGCTACACTGAGAGGTATGCGAGGTGACGCGCTGTCACGTGTCGCGCTAGCGATATGCTCCCCTCACCACCTCAACCATTCACTCTACTGCTCCCACTTCTAGATTCTCGCACATCTGCTTACTTTCTGTGCGTCATCATGCCTATTGTTGACTGCTTCTTCGCTTTGTACATAGTGTGGTCTTGTTATACATCAAGTGACGTCTTGAGCCATTCAAGTCCACAACACATTTATTTCACCAGTATCATCATCTCTGGACCTCTGATAGATATTGAGATATTGTAAATACATGAATTTAACAAAAGAAAGATCGACACCATCCTAGATAAACGTGAGGAGAGAAAGCCGACAGTTTACATGTGATCACCATGGAATTCCAATGTTCCCAAACCATCGTGCATTGTTTGTTTGTGATGAAAGATGAGTGGGAGTGATTGACTGACGAGAACGTCCAGAATCTGCAGTTTGACAAAAAGTAAAAGTCGAAGCAATCTTGCATATATCTAATAGCGGCACCATAGCAGCTGTGTACACTTTCACCGGAGGAAACCTGAGTGAAATGCTTGCAACAGTGCTAGTATGAAGAGCACCATGCAGGTACACAGTAAACAATATATAGAGGAGCATCAAAGTGTCGGCTAATGTAATGTCGCAGTATAGTCTGATCTGGTATGGAGGATAGTTGTGTCTGGACTCGAGGCTATTGAAGCCAATCATGTGACCATGATGGCAGACTAACCAGATTGATTCGCCATGACCGCACGTGAGACCGCGACATGAGGAGATCTATTTCTACATCGGTCCATCGCACACACGGTCTTCCAATTCCCTGGGACTCCGTGTATATGCTTTTTCTCGATTCGGACTTTTGTCTCCGTCACGCCGCGTACTGACATCCCGACGCCACTTGTTGAGCCACGCTGCAGGACTTCACCGTTGCGCTGAACACATCTCGAGGAAAGTGAAAGTGCGCGCAAGTGGCCTTTACGACTGCGCTATTACCTGAGTCTGCGCTTCCCTTTTTAATTCGCCTTGCCAGTTGTGCTACTTGATTCGGCATAAACAAGTTGGCTGTCATCGACGCCTGCCGTTATATGTCAACACTGCAGGTCCGCCAATCACTGCACACGCCAACCCAACCCAAGTACTTCAAATCACATCATTCGCCATTCTTGCACTCATTAAAAAGGCTCTGGAGTTCTGCCGTAAGATGGTGAAAAAGATCACGTATTCGCGGCGGCAACCCGATAAGCGGCGCCTTTCCTTCGATTTTGATCAAGTTCGTGAGAATGACGACGGCCGCAAGCGGACCAAGACGGCTCATGGATCAGATGAAGTTCAGTTTGTGACGCCCGCTTCAAAATCACAGGCTAAGAAGCCGCTTGTGTCGAAGAAAGGCGCATTTGGTGGACCCGTCTCCATACCGGATGATGCCGATTTGGAACCTTCACCAAGAAGCGACAACAGACTTTCGGTTTTCGACAAAGTTCTTAGTAATGGACGGTACCAACCTGCAAAGACAGACAAGAATAGTCTCCGAGCCAATAAGCAACAGTTTTCAGAGATGATGAAGATCGGACAGAGGTCCAGAGAGCACAACGACCAAAAGAACAAACGCTATCTACCTACGCCACCAGCCGAGGTTCAGAGAAAAGGGCATGACGAAGTGCAGGAGGATGAGAGCTTTGTACGGTTGAATGGATATGTTGAAAAAGATGGGTTTAACACGCCTGAGACATCACCTACTCCTTCAACTCGAACGTTGCAGCTATCTGGACAAGCCCGCAAGAATGCGCCAAGAGAGCCCTATCAACCGAGGGCCTACAAAGCTTTACTGACTCCCGCACCTCGCGAGAAGATTGGCGGGTCTCTATTATCAAGAGAGTCTCGTGAAACCCAATTGTAAGTGCGATTCGGAGTGTTCCTTAGTTCCGCAGACTGACTCGACTAGATGGTCAACGAACCAAGTCAGCTCACCGTTCTTGCAGCTCCCGCAAAATGTGCGGGATATCATCTACAGATATACACTAGGCGGTAAAACGGTCAACATCGACTATGAGACATACCGGATAACCTTCGACCCCACGAGGCCTCAGGTAGCGAAGAAAGTCATACCTGTCTTCAAATATCATTGTACGGTCATTGATGGCAAGATGAATCCTTTCCAGGCGGCCGCCAAGCCGTATATCAAGATACGCAGGAGCTTCACACTACTGAATAGCGTATGTCGACAGTTGTATGTGGAAACTGCGACTCTGCCATATAAACTCAACATGATGTGCTTTGCCTCACATAATATCATGGTCAACTTCCTGCTCATGGAGAAGCGACTGTCTCGTGAGCAGCTCGATGCTTTCACGCAACTGCTCCTTCGCAACGAGCTGCCGGGTCCGAACCTGCTGGCTTGTCTGCGAAATCTCGAGAAAGTTTACCTTGTATCTGACCAGAGTGGGAAGTCCTCGGGCTGGTATCATGTTGAGCGTGAAGAAGGAAAGGAGCCAAATCTAGTTCAGGCTCCGAAGGGGCGTGCATAATGGGTGGGTTGGGTAGTATGTAATAGGCAGTGCAGGGGATTTCCTTTATCTAGTCGGATTCCGACAAACACGGCCGTAAGAAGCAGATTTTCACTGGTCTTGTTGTAGGCGGACTGGAGATGCAATATGCAGCATGACTCGATTTCCTTAGCAGTGCACAATGCATCTGTGGTACGTGGCCGTGCCACTTTTGGGGGCGCATGGTTGGTTTAGTCAGACTGGCATGTGAAAGAGGCGCCGTGTCTAAGCCCGAGTCGAGCTCAGGTGATCACGACCTTGACACCCTTATTTTTTTGGCGTATGCACTGCCGTCTCATGTGCTTGGATCTCGTGCTGTGTGGAGATCGAAAGGGGCAGTCGGAACGCCTGGGAAGCGGTTCATGGGCGCACCCCACGTTTGTACCCTCTCCGGATCTACGCTGCCTGCCGGTTCTCCGCAACCCAGTGCTCCAAGTCAGCACTGTCAGCGACCACAATGACCAGGACGGTGCATGGCAGCGGGCACAGTAGTGTGGAGCTTCTGCAGGTCCCAGAGGAAATATTTGCTAATCATCAGCATGGGCCCGACAAGAACGAGCAGCGGGTGCTGCTGGAGCGAGTCGTTGTCACCTTTCTTTAGCCGTACCCTTGACGTTTAATGACGATGGCCCACGGACACGCACCCACTCTTCCCCCGGCCCTCGAGCCTCCACTGGCAGCTTCTGGTAAATACTTCAGAGGCTGGTGTCCCCCTTTGCTGCTCATCTCCTGTCGCTCTGCCAGTTGTCTGCTATAAGAATTCCACTTGCCGACCCGTGACGTAGCTTCCGCGACTTGCGCGACACCTGACGCATGACCACCGTCCACGGTTGACCCTATTTCCGCCAATACCTACACCGCGTCTCTGGGGAAAAGCACTATTATTACTACGCTGTCGACCGCCGTTTTCGATTGAAATATTACGTCCTGCTAGTCTCCGCCTTCCCACCTCGATAACTTCACAGCCTGTTGCGAAGCGCCCCTATCGGCCCTTTCCTTTGACCATTGTCCGACCCTCCAATTCAGGCCTTGCACCGTTCGCGCATGGCGTACACCATTGCTCCATGTCACTGCTGTCTGACACTATCTTTGCAGGCGGCAGCACTCGACTGCACGTAAGAGGAGGACAAAATGGCCAGAAATCTTTGAAGAAGAGCAAGAGTCATACTGGGTTCCTGGGTCCCCTCGCACACCTCGTAAGGAACCCCGTAGGCAGTCTCGTGGGGATATTAGGCGACAGCAATGTTCCTGAACAAGGGGTTGGCACAGCGGAAGACGCACGCCGGCAGGTCCTGTACCTGCGCATGAAAGACGTGGGTTCCTCAGATTGGTGGTACCCATCATCACATGCTAACGAGACTGCGCTGCACAGGCCGAGACCTATGACGAATGGAAAGCCGCTGCCACTGAGCTCGACATATTAGAGGGCAATGAGGCCTGGAAAGACGAGGATGAGACGCTCGAGTACAATGCCGACCTGGTTGCCGCTCGGCTAAATGAATTGGACGACGCGCGCATGAGTTGCGACGTGAAGAGGATGTTGTTCTTGATCAGAACCACCCTCACCCGCGGCTTGGGCGACATGGGCGATTTGCGCCTGTACAAGCATTCGCATATCGGCACCAAACGGCTGATTGAGAGGTACATTGAGTCAGCACAACAAACTTTGGCTGCTTTGTTGAGTGTGTCAGAAAAGCAAGGAGACCAGTGTTCTGTCGAGCCACGACGACTGGTCGACCAGCTTCTGCAGACACGTCAATCCTTCGGCCGAAGTGCATTGCTTCTGTCGGGAGGTGGCACTTTGGGCATGAATCACATTGGTGTTGTCAAGGCCCTGTGGGAAGCCCGACTCCTCCCACGCATCATTTCTGGAGCGTCTGCTGGAAGCATTGTCTGTGCTGTGCTTTGCAGCAAGACGGATGCAGAGATTCCAGACGTCATGCACGAATTCTGCTATGGTGATCTTAACGTGTTTGAAAACCCCGACCAACCTGATGGCCTCCTAGGCATGGCGATGCGTTTGATGAAGTCTGGTGTTCTTTTCGATATCTCGCATCTAACCAGAGTCATGCGAGGCTTGCTCGGAGACATGACTTTTCAGGAGGCATATAACCGGACCCGTCGCATCTTGAACATACCGGTTTCAACGTCTTCACTCTATGAGCTGCCCAGGCTGTTGAATTACATCACGGCGCCGAACGTCATGATTTGGTCAGCTGTGTAAGTAATGTGGATGCACTGTTTTATGTTTATACTAATGAAGTTCAGATGTACGTCTTGCTCGGTTCCATTAATCTACAAGAAAGCCTCTCTTATCGCCAAAGATCCCAAGACTGGTCTGGAAGTTCCTTGGGACCCCAATCCTGACGCTACTTGGATCGACGGCTCGGTTGACAATGACCTGCCAATGACACGTTTGTCGGAAATGTTCAATGTCAACCACTTTATTGTCTCTCAAGTCAATCCACACGTCGTTCCTTTTCTGGAGAAAGAAGAGGAGCTATTTCCTATCGAGGCTCAACATGACATTGACGCCGGTCCTAGCTGGCTAAGCCTTTCCGCCAGTCTATGTAAAGGAGAAGCCATGCATCGCCTGCAGCAGATGGCAGATACTGGGGTTTTTCCAAACCTTGCCACCAAAGTCAAATCAGTCCTTAGCCAGCGGTATTCTGGAGACATTAATATCTTTCCCAAGATCCATTATGCCGACTTTCCTAGGGTGTTGAGTAACCCGACAACCGAGTACATGATTGGATGTATGTTAACTGGGCAACGTGCTACTTGGCCGAGGCTTTCACGCATACAGAATCATGTCGCCATTGAGCTTGCTTTGGACGATATAATACAGCAATTGAAGGGGCGGCTTGTATTCCCCTCCACACCCACCGAGCCACAGATCAGACGCACTAATTCTCAAGACACTGACATTTCCCAAAGAAAGCGAGCGAGGTCAACACACAAATCAGCGCGCTTCCAACTAAGGACGAGCCCTCCCAGCCCGGTACTTAGGAAGTCAGCACCTACTACACCATTCCTTTCTCGCACGCAGTTGAAGGCATCACTGCAACCCTTATCCGCCTCGAAGAAGATTAACGATGCAACTCGTCACCAACCCCACGGTCTAAACATTGATGCGATCCAGTTGGAACCAGCATCGTCAACTAACGATACTTCTGATCAAGACTACTTTGCAGACCCCGACTCAGATCTTACAGATGGCATCTCATCACCTTCGCCACCCACATCACCCAATTTCCAAGGCCCAACCCTATGGCCTTCCACACCCCAAGCCGTGATGCGACCTGCCCTGCGACCGATATCTCAACCTATACAATCACCGTCCGTCAACACCAGCCCACTTCGCCGCCGCACAGACACATTGTTCCATCTCACCATGACATTAGCGACCTCGCAGTCCACAACGGGCAACGCACCAAGCTCACCCGAACTACGCTACAAACGCCTATTCCATCCTCCCGGCCCAGCTACCCCCGACGTCAGTGTCGGCCCGCCACAGCTAGAGCAGGAGTTTGTCTGGCCCACGCTGTCACCGGCGCCCAGCCGCCCGGGCAGTAGACGCAATAGTGCATCTGGCTTGCCGCTTGATCACTCGGGCACAAAGGGTATGCTAATGCGGAAGAAGAGCTGCATGTAATTCAATCTGTGTAGACTTGTACGTTTTCTTTTGTAGATTCGCAGGACTACAAGCTAGTCTTAGTCTCTGTATCTTCATCCCGTTCATCTGCCAGCCACCGACCCTTCTTTCATATGTTCTCCCGTGTGTCCCCGCATTTTCAGGCGCGCGTACTGGATTTTTTGAGGATGCAGAGTGGTAGATGGCTATACAAACATTCACCTATCATTTCTTTTGTGCAATGTCGTAGAAGCAGAGTCAGTAAAGAAGACATTATCGTCTGTTTGAGAATAGATGGACGCACAGTTCGTAGTGAGAAGAAGAATGTACACCAGAGAAAGAAATAACTCACCAATACATTTATCAGTTGAAATTTAATATAAGTATATATACCCTATTATTATCCTCATTTCCCCCGGCCCCATAGTCATGCCCGTTCGTATATAACATTACTCATATATTTCACCCCCTCTTCTCCACCTTCCCTCATTCATTACATCTCTCTCACACACCCCTACTACTATCTATCCCCTCCAAACTTGACCTTAACATCCTTCTTTCCCCTCCACCGCTCAAGCAACTCGTACCCAAACACCAGCACAATCGGTAAACTAACTATAATCGCCGTGACCCGGCGTGCGGCGGGCTTGTACTTGGGCGGAAGCCGTATGTCGGGTGTGGGCTCGATGACGCGCGTGTGTTGGGAGAGCGCGGGGGGGACGCGGCGTGGGGTGGATGGGTAGGGGTTTGGTGGGAGGACGGGGTTGCGGGGGGATGTTGTGTGGGAGGTGGAGAAGATGGGGGATGGGGCTGGGAAGGGTTTTTGCGGGAGGGGGATGGCTGTTGGTATGGGGTGGGTTCGGGGAGGTTTGGATGGTGGTGGTGGTGGTGGTGAAGAGGAGACCGGTGGTACTTGTGCTGTTGTTGCTGTTGCTGGTTTGGTTGCTAGAGGAGTACCACTATTCCTGCTCTCTAGGCTGGTTGTTTTGGTGGGCAATGTCTTACTCAGTGTTCCCTTGGCGCGTACGGACTCGAGTATCTTGCTTGTTGCTGGTGTAACGGGCGTGGGATGTTCCGGCGCATTCTTCTTCGCGATTGTCTTCTTGTCCTTTTCTGGCGCGACAGGTTTGTGCTTGGGCGCTGTGGGCTTTGTAGTCACCTTTTTTACAGCCGGCGTCTTCTCCCCATCTACGCTTATTGTTTCCCCCGCATCTTCGGCTGCAGCCTTCTTGGGGCGTCCGCGTTTCTTGATTGCTGGTGGTTCGACGGTAGTGTTTGTCGACGACATTGTCGCAATGTTTTTTGTTTTGCGCAATTGGTGTATAAACAGCGTCTCCAGTCAAAGAGCGTTGAAAGGGGTGTATAAGAGTCACTAGAGTCTTGCGACACGAGGAGTAGGGTATGGGCGTGACTTCGAGGGGTCCAGCGGGAAATTTTGGGCCAGTGTTTTTGGGGCGGAGATTACAGTACAGGGATATGCGCGTATCGATAGGAGTACCGTCTAGCCATCCCTGCGTAGCGAGAAACCTCGTGTAACCATGTATTATATGACGTTGGTCACGACGAAGTAGCGATGTCAACTGAGCCTGACAAGTGTACCGTCTTCATTTCGCCATATTGTAAAGGGCAGCAGCTGGGATGTGCTTCACTCCACCATTGCTAGAGATGTGGAAACTGCTCACAACAGCAAAGCCTGAAGCCATCAAACAGAGGCGCTTCAGTTACCGGTACTCTAGAAATCTTCCTCACTACTCGGATTTACAGGTTTGATCCATCCATCTCGAGCCTCTACATGCAAAAAAGATTTCTGTGCATGATTCTCCATGATTCCAGCTAGTCCACCATAGATATACGTCGGCTCCTATAATACTGATCTGAATACTTGGTTATCATTGAGATGAAAAATGAATAAATCATTACTTCCCAATGATACACTCAGAGTTCAACCCTACTTGCAAAATATCGTCGCACGAAGATCCTCCAAGAACTAACATTAATCTGCAGCTGAAGCTACAGCCAAGCCCTAGCTTGAGATACACTCCTTCTTTAGTGTGCGGACTCTTCAACATGCATCGGGCAAAAGTCTTTCACATACGCTGTTTTATGGAAAACTGTAACATTTAACGAGTCGAGATGTGTGGGGCACTGGCAAAGTCTGATAGCAGTTGTTCTACGCTGAGTAGCTGTTACACGTCGACGCCTGTCACACAGTCTTGTCCCATCTCTCGACTACTTCGTCGCAAATTAATTTTTAAACATCCGCTGCTTAAACAGTATTCTTTCCTTCCCTTTAGTCATTTCATGCACCGCTACAACACTCCTGAGGAAATTGGCTCTGAGGGAGTTGGCGCCTGCGTTTACACCAAGGGTACACTGACCCGGTTCAAGATTGTCTCCAAACTGTGAAGTGATAACCGTGAAACAATCTAGGAAAAGATCCACGCCTCTAATTCGTACGCTTGCACCCGCATAAGATGCCTGGAATTTGTGTTAGCGTCTAGTTATCATTCTATTCATTTAATATGCACACGTACGTTGCAGTTAGCCACTTAACTCTTGTCCTTTGTTTGGTAAGGGGCTGGATTAATAGACTTATAGATCTCTTCGATATATGCTTTTGGAAGAACAACGCCCCAAACAGCGGAGACAACCTGCAGTCGACGAAGTCCAGGAACGTATTTCGCTTGTTCAGTCCATGGCACAAACCTGCCACGAGGATTTCTTTTTTTTCATAACTAGTTAGTTCATAGGTAAACAAAATGCACATTTTATGAAAATAATAACTATTTCGACTTGACTGTAAAGCCATCCGGTATGATGGTCTAGTATCGTATTACCTCATTAGCAAAATCGCTGACTACTGGTGTAATTGTCCATGATTTAGGAGTTGGTACATACATTGGGTAGCAGGCCGCCAATAGCTAGCGCGCTATTATTGGCAAAGTCGACTGAGTCCTTGTAAACAGGATTTGGGGCGATAGAGAAAACGGGTGGATGAATTAAGCCTTGGTTAAAAGCAATTAAAATCCACGGTGTCTACGAAGAAGGTAAATAAAGGAGGTTTACTACTGGTGCATGAAGAGTAGAATAGTGACGTATGAGTAGTTCGCTTTTAGCTGCAAGGTGTCGGTATTTGGGAATGAAAACCCTGTGAGCGGTTAGGATACTGAAGATATATACTAAAGAGATGCTAAGTAATGCATGATAGACCCATAAAACCACCTAATGGCTTTTTTGTCCAAATCTGTTCTGTGGTATAGTCGCAGATAGCTATCTCTTGTTAGTTAATATAAATTCTAGCCAAGCCGACTTTCTTATAACCTTGTGGGCCTAAAGTACCAGTCCCACCTCTATAGGTAAGGTTTAGAATTAGTCCATCTATCCTACCTCTAGAGAAACTCGTGGTTTCGTGGGCAGTAAATAGCTATATATCTAGTTTACTATACAACAACACTAAATAGTAATTATTCGGGCGTAGTGCGTAGAAATATTTTCTAGCTAAGGACTTATAACTTATTCCCGTTAAGGTCTAAGCATTAGAACCCTAGAGCAAAGACTAATGGAAATAAACCCCCTGTATTGAAAATCAAAGTAAATACTTCAACTCTAATAAGGACGTCGGCTCTAAAAATATCGAGAGCATTGCGCAGACTAGTAACGTGCCCTACAATAGCGATTTTCCTGTTTGAGAGAATTTTATTTCAGTTAGAGTGTAAGGGGCTGCGCTCTAGGGAGCAATCGCGAGGTATACAAGAGGTTGTATTCGATGAGGAGCTAAGCTCCCAAGCTACGTAGCTGTCTATATACAAGCTGGTTACCCGAGTAACAATCGGACCGGTGAAGTCTAGGTGCACGAGGCAGCTTCTGGGTCCTGCGGCTGTCGTCTGAACGTCGTTCGGGCGGTGCGCAGAGAATCCGGGTGCTCGAGACAGCACCCGGGTTCTGCGAGTAGGCCGAGATTCCATCGAGGAGCTATCCAAAGGGCGTTCAGCCCGTTACAATACCCCCCTCCTTAGGGTGATACCGCATCGCCTCTCCGAAACCCTTCCGGGAGGCGGCCCTCGCTGTCTCGTTTGGTCTCTGTGAACGCTTCCCAACGATCTACTGCCTCAGCGTCCTCTAGTAGCTCCGCTGGTTCGAGCGTCGTTCGGTGGAACCCTTTCCACTTCACCTCGTAGTATAGCTTACGCCCTCTCCTACGGCGGCGTACCTCTTCTGCTATAATGTCCTCTACCTCCCATTC